CTATGTGGTTCTACAAATGTTATCCCAGGGAAAAACGCAATTTAAATACTTTGGATTTAGTAGTCTGTTCATCTGCATGTGCACTTTTTTTCCCATCTAAAAGTGTTTTACTAAAGCTCCTTTGAGCAAGAAAATTCGACATCTGAAATACCAGCTTTTAGAGGCATGGAGAAGTGGGTGATTGCTGATTAAAATGAGACAAAGCAGTATGTCCTGAACAGAGGGAAAGAGCTCTGTCATATGTTTCAGAGTGGGAAGCTCTGTTTCCTGTTTTGCTACGTGGGACTTAGTTCTCCTAATGCACATGTTCCACTCCAGTTCCCCAGCTATTGTCTTCATCTGAAAGATGACCCCTTTGTTGCAATACATTGGGTATTTGTGATTCCAAGTAGAGATTGGTTTCTGTCAGCAGTCTTTTTTTGCATCAAAATCAATAAATGAAAAGGTAGCTAATATTAAAAGTAGGGGTAAAACTTTTTTTTTTCCAAGGTGTACCTAGTTTATAAAGTTGGGGTGAACAAAGGCCTTGCTGCTGAGTGACTTCCCGAGAACACAAGAGTCGAAGGCTGCTGCTGAAATTCGGACTAAAAGGACGACTGACTGTCATTCTTTAATACTTCTAGGTATGAGAGGCAGAAATTTTCTGTGCTTATGAACTTCCAGGATTAACCTGAGCCAAAGGCAGTAAAAGCAGAAGTTGTTCAGTTGTCCTCCCCTTATTTGTCAATAAACCTCAGTCCTGTGATAGTCTTGGTATCCCAATCTTGTGGCGTTTACATAAACACTGTCAACACACATGTTCTATGCTGGTTTTCTGTCATGCAGATAAGTACTTTTCAGAGTTAGGTTGAGGCCACCAAACTCTTCTGCATTTTTGCTCAGACTTGTGAAATCTTAAAACTGTAGCATATTATGCCACTATTTACCTAACCACAGTCTTCTAAAGCATTTCTCCTACACATAAATCGAAAGCTCCAATTCTCTTCCTCTGTTATGCATAAGCTAGGAAGTAACTCCTTCAAGGAAGACATTGTTCCAAAGAAGATTTAGGTAAATCCATGTTATTAGAAATCTTTAGGAGGCCAGGACTGGTTTCATTCAGTGCTGAGAGTGACCGTACAGGGATACATATCTGTTCATGTTGGATTAGTCCTACTGCAGTAAAAACAACAGTAAGCCCTTGGATTCATTGGCAGCAAGTATCTAATTCTTGGCCTTCCTTTTGTCTGTGATCCAGTTAATTTTCCAAATGCACCTACTCATCTGTTTGACAATAGCAAGAAAAATTATATCCTACAGTTTTTTCAGGTCTTACAGTCAGATCTGTCTTTCAGTATTTCTTGGAGGTGGTTTGGGCTGATGGACCTGATCTCCATTGCTGTTATCTCAGTTGGCTCGGGAAAAAAATGTTTATGCTGCTTGAAAGCGGGAAATTTCATAGCAGTTCTCAGAGCATCTCAAAAGCAAGTCTAGTAACATTTAGGGACTTTCTGGGATCAGTTATGATCTACCACTCAGTAGATGCAATAGTTTTCAAAGTATTAACTGTCTTTCCTTTAAAAGCATTAGGTCTTCATACTGTAAAGAGAAGGTGAACTGAGGTTGCATTTGTCAGGTTTTGTTTTTTGAGAAGCTGCGGAGACTTCAGGGTGCATCATCTGGTTCTCTGCATTCAAAAAATGCCAAAGTATTTTTGTAGGAAGGCGGGTGTTCTGCTGTACTATAGGAAGATCCACTAGGTGCTAAACACATAAAATAAAACAGAGACAGAGATTTGTAGCTGATAAGCTTCTGCTTTAGTACAATCAACTTGAAAAAATGTCTGCATTAAAACACAGATTCTCAGTTAGTGTCTCTTCAACAGTGTTCCAGTTCAGATCGACGCATTGGGCGGTGTGTGACTCTCAGCCAAACATCTTGTTAAATACTTGCAGGATTTCCCACAGCGGATCTTACTTTAATCAAATAATTCAAACGTTTCTTTTGTAAGTACAATAGAAGGGCAGGGCTTGTGTTTACAAAGTATTCAGTATGGAAATCCTGTATTAATTGAGGTACATTTACTTCACTTAGGACAGTGTCCACATAATAACTCTTTAAATAAAAGGCCTTTTGCTTGAGGGACAATCATGTGCAATGTTAACCCGTCACATACAGAAAATCATGAGGAAATAGCTTCAGAGATGTGCAGTGTAGGCAGCAAAGATGTTCCTAATTAACGAAGACAATTTTATGGGTGATATCCTCACAGTGAATGTAAAAGAGTATAATTTATAAAAAGTAGTTTTATCCCTGTGGAAACTACTAAAATAAAGAAGCTGTGTCTTTCTCAATCTATTTCAAGAATGATTAGCAGGAGCAATACCAGATGTTGTTTTTTTGTAATATCATGGATTCATGTAACCTGTGATTTAAATTATTATCTTTCTAAGGTAGCAGCTATATTTTCTGTTAGACACAATGTACTTCTACCCAGCCCTGTGCAGAGTCTGGAGCTTTTATGATTAACAATAAAGCATTTAGAGTTTCACATAAAGAGTATATAAAAAGGAAAGATAATATTATTACATGGTGATAATATTATTACTCAGTAAAAGGTAACCAGAATTGTGCTTCTCTGAGTTCCTTATTTTGTTGTGCCAGAAAATGCCAGCATCAAAATAACGCACATACAGAAGAATTAACAGAGAGTCAACATTTTCCTCCACAGTGATTTGGAAATTAAATGTCGCTTCTTAGTCTAATACAGTGAAATCTTTTTTCCTTTTTTTTTCTTGAATTATAACTCTGCTATGGTTGAAAATTCATTTCTGCCAGTGTATGAAATACCTGGCAAAAGGAGTATTCTAGAACATTTTAGGTGAATGTAGGTCAACACAAAGGAATCATACAGTTGGAAATATTTTCCAGTGTTTATGTTCAGATGTTGAGACCTGTCTGGCTCCTCTCTATTTGCATGTGTTGGGCTTATAGGCAGTCCGGCTACATTCCACGTTGATTTATATAAATATATTGCAGATTATTAACCTCCAGCCAAATACCAGCAAATTTCACTTTTCAGGAAGGTTTGTGACTTCTCACAAAGCTTATTTACCACGTACAGCACATATATACCCCATTAAAGGAATCTTAGAAAACAGTATCTGTTGTTACAAGAAATGTGCAAACACATTTTCTCTTACAGTCACTATGTTACCATAATAATTGTTTGTTTGTTCAGATGATGATTACAGATGAAGTACAAATTAGTCTTCAAGTAGAGGTAGGGTGACAGTCGTTCCATATTCTGGAACTCTGGTTCCTTATTTATTACTCACTGAAAAGCTTCCTTAACCTAAAATGAATGTGCATGTATACATTTTCAAAATACGGTGGCTAATAAAAAATTTCTCAGTGTCAGACCAAAGATTGTTTAAGAAATGATGTCAAATGAGAGCACAGCCTTACGGTGGTAAATGTCAAGTAAAAAATACTGCTCTCTTAAACTTGAATTACATTCTTCCCAGGTGGTTATGCCAATTCTAGTGTTTCCTTCTCTCATAAAATACATGGAGATTTAAGGTAAGAAGTAAAATATCAGTGCAAGATCTCATGTATATGTTGTCCTTGTCAGATGTTGTCCATTTGGCAGATGTCCTCTGGGAAAAGAAGGGACCCCCAAGGCTTTGCATGTGATCTCTTGTCTTCAGATCCTGCATATAAAGCCTTTAGTCCTTCAACAAACAACAAAAATATTATTTGGTAACATTACCAGAAATCCTGCACTTCTTAATTCTAAGAAAGTAATTTTAAGGAAGAGTACGAAAGATCGAAGTAATACAACAGCATCACTGGTATGATGTTGGAAAAAATAAGCCATAGCATCAACACTAGTTTGATCTGTTATCAATGAGAGATTCTTCAGTTTAACTGTCTAGACTTTTTTCTCAGTAATTCCATTTTTTAAATCTGCTGTCACCTGGTAAAAGTAGTGATTCATTTTTCACACCTCAGAGAGAAATGTGATCTGATCTTGGAATATAAAATTAAATGAATAAGCACATGAGTAAAGTATGTGAGCAGGGAAGAAATGTCCTGGCTGTTTAGATAGTTTCCTATTAGGATTTTGTAGAGGTGAGATTTGAGGAAGGATAGTGAAAATCACTGGTATAACTATAGGTGTGAAGCACAGATGGATGGGCAGATGTTTTTGAAAAAGGTAAAACTGGTTAAAGAAGCCATGGTAGATGAAGTGGAGTGGATGAGAGGAATCCTATTTAAAAAGAGAAAACAATAACCTATAGAGTAATCAGATAGGAGTGTGGTATTATGAAGAGCTTTGTAAATTAGTTTGGTGTTGTGCAACAAGGTGAAATGATAAAGAAGTTCCAGTAAAAGAATGACCAAAAGTGATGAAAGAAGTAGTGACTTCTTGTGCACAGAGCTTTTTTCCAAACTGTATGCTGACTCTGAAGGTATTCTGTGTGTCCAGGAATTTGCAAGAGGAATCAGTGAAAAAATTGTATTTCTGCTGAAGGAGATCTAATGAAGCTGCGTAATGGTATATGTGGGAATTACGTGGAAAGAAACTGAAGGTGCATGCAAACAGTCTGTGGGGTTTTTTTAAAAAATATTTCCTGCTGGGTTTTTTGGGGTTTTTTTGGTAATAACTATAAGTACTGGAGCCTAGAATGTGGATAAATATCACATAATTTTTTGTATTAACTCAGGTTGCTGTGTCAAAAAACCAAAATATTTTCATGTAATTGTTTTACATTCAACAACTGATGAGTTCTTAATAATTAATCCTATTTCAGAATTCTCAAGTGAAAGACTGAGATGGTAATTTTGATACATCAACTGTTACCTGATAAATCAAGAGCTCAAAGATTGGTCTACCTTTGGAAGGCTCTTTACCATTCTATATACTGTAAGAAATTTAAATAGACATGCTTGAGATGCAAGGTACGTCTGTTCTGGTTCCTGTATACTTACCTCTTCTTTTCTTTTCCTCTTCTCAGATTGTTTGATGTGTGCACCGTGTCACGAACAGACAGAGAGACAAAGTTAACATTAGTGTTTGAACATGTGGATCAAGACTTGACTACTTACTTGGATAAAGTTCCGGACCCTGGAGTGCCTACTGAAACTATAAAGGTATTTAAGGAGAAAGATTTTAAGAGATAATATTTCAGAGATAAATCAGAGAGAAACTATGTTGTGATCCCATAGGATTTTGTTGCATCAAAATTGAGTAGCAGCCACTTGGGACATGAACTGCACACAAAGTAACAGATATAATCTCTTTGTGAAAAAGCTGCATTGTGGTTTTATTCTTCTTTCAGAATTCTAAATTTACTGAATCTCTACTGTTTTACCAAATGTAGCATTCAAGCACAGGAAGGACCCGGACCTGTTGGAGCTAGTCCGGAGCAGGGTCGCCAAGTTGATTAGAGGGATGGAGCACTTATCTTAGGAGGAAGGCTGAGAGAATTGGGATTGTTCAGCCTGGAAAAGAGAAAGCTTAGAGGTGACCTAATTGCAGCCTTCCAGAACCTGAAGGGAGCCTACAAGAAATATGGAAAGAGACTATTTACAGGAGCATGTAGTGACAGGAAAAGGAGGAGTGGTTTAAACCTGAAAGAGTATGTTTAGATTAGATATTAGGGAAGAATTCTTTACTGTGTGGGTGGTGAGGCACTGGAACAGGTTGCCCAGAGAAGTCATGACTGCCCCACCCCTGGAAGTGTTTAGGGACAGGTTAGATGGAGCTCTGAGCTACCTGGTCTAGTGAAAGGTGCATGGCAGTGGGATTTTTAAGGTGTTTTCCAATACCAGTAATGCCATTCTATGATTCCATGATTCTGTGAAATCATTAAGAATGACCTTTGCTTCCAGCTGCAGGCAGATGATTCTGTTATTGTTTAGGTAGAGACTACTTGAACCTTCCCTTAAAGGTGAAGTGCTAGATATTGTTAAAATAAATCCTGTGCTTCTTATCCCTTTTCCTTTGCCTTTTATTTCCCCGAGAGACAGCTTTTGTTTTATGTCCTTCTTGCCAGGAGAGTTTGTATGCATTCTGAGAGCAAGAAATGTTAATTGTGGACCTGTGGTGTGCTCTGCAGAGAATGGGCTGAAGGGTGGGGAGAGTCATGACCAGTTGTTACAGGAGCTGGGAAGGCTTTCAGTAACTGGGAAGACAATAATGAAGTTTCATTGTCATGTTATCTCGTATTCTGCATCTGTAAGGGAGGACTCCTACCTAGGATAGGATGTGCTTGCATTATTGTTAATAAAATGTATATACCAACTCCTCTGCTTTTCTGGGAATTTCACAGCAAAGTTCCACATTGAGGATCATAGGTTGAAGTGTTTGACAAAAAGTTTATACCTGGGAAGAGAAGCAGAGGGATTGATGTTGCTACATTTCGACTGTGTCTGTTTACCATTTCTTTTGATTTTTTTATTTTCATGAGGAGAAAGAATTTATGCTTTCAGAGATGCATTATCTTTCACTTGTGTAAGTACTTTCTGCAAGTATGTTGTATCATCTTAGTCTTTAGGCAAAGGTCCCCATGGAGGAAAAGAAAACATGAAAACTATTGAAAATTTAGTTGATTTAATAACTTTTTTAACAGCTTCTTAGGAACTTAGGAAACTTAGGAGGTGTTTGATATTTCAGTATAAAATTAGAACTACAGCAGATAAAGATCTATTCACTGGTGTCAAAGTCACAGGCATAATACCAGTCAGTTCCAGCAACCATGTTTTTAACCAACTGTAGTCAATAAAATTTTTGAAAAATGGATGCAGCTTTGATTCAGTCAGAAGAACACTGGAATGTACCTATTATATTGTAGGACTATTTTATTATAATGCTATTAAGGTTCTATTTTCCTCCTAGGACTTTGAAGCTGCTTATGTGAACTGTATTTCAACTTAAATAACATGGTGAAAATAAGATGTAAGGTTAGATTTATCTAACTAAATATATTGAAATTGATGGGAACTGAAAGACTAAGCCTCTGAAATCTCAGTTTGAAGTATCTTTTGATCTGTGTTTCATTTAAAGGAAATACAAGACGTGAGCACTAAATAAATAATAATACTAAAGTATTTGTGATTTCCAGAAATTCTGTTTTGAAATTGTACTATGAGACTGTCAAATATATGTTTGAATATACATTTCATGAAGATTATATACTGATGAAAGAAATCATTGTGCTTACATTTGAAAAGCACTACTCTGCATACATGGTTTACTAGTTAACCCAGTTGCTCTATCTGATAGTTTGGCACAATGAAGTAGAAAAGCCACACAGAAACAAAGAAGAGCAATTTTGGTCTTTTATGTACAATGGAAGTTCCACTGCAACCAGTAAAATTAGTAACCATAAAACTGAGCTTGTGGTACATAATTTCTTTTTAAATGGGTGAGGAAAAATGTAGAATTGCTGTTGGTCATCGCTGTTGATTTCAACATTTTCACAGTAGCTGATGTGTTTTTTCTTGAATCGTGTTTGGCACAGGAAAAGAGAGATTTGGTTAACTTAAGTTGCACCCTGTTGCTTCATATTTATGTCAAAACACCCCGTTTATGGAGGTACTTTTGCTGATAGTCAGGGCTGATCACATGAGGAAGGATCTCAAGGCTTATTTTTAGTATATTTCAATTCCTTTGTAATAATACAATTTTTATGAATATTCCTGATAGAAATTGAAGCAAAACATATTTCTCCTGGCTGCGAGGAAATACTACAATTTTGTAGCACCTGAGCATTTAACCTAGAGCACATACATCGTTAAATGACTAATCTGACTTTTTATAGTTTGGCTTTTGAGGTTAATATGGATTTGTACTTCATTTATTTTCCAGAATTGCAGACAATTTGTGTAGAGTATTTCCCCTCACCACCAGCACAGTACAAAACAACTGCCAGTATTGTAAGACCATCTGTTAAAGTTCTGCATGTGTCAGCAGCACAGAAGTGCCAAATGAGCCAAGCTCTGGATAGCTTGAAGCTGAAGGATCTAATATACCTCTTTGGCACCGTGGTGTAAAATCAACAGTTGTTAGTGGACCTTGAATGACATAAAATTACTATGAGAGAGGTGTCAACCCCAAAGATCTTTTCTGTGTGAATTGACTACCATCATTACGTAACATTTAGGGAAGGGTTTGGAGCATGCTAGGGGTTTTGGTTACCAGCTGTCAAGAAATAAAAATGACACCGGTACCATTTTAAAAACTTCTTTTATGTTTTGCAGGCAATCATCAGAGTGTAGCAGTTCAGAGAAATGAACCATATTGATCACTTAAACACAACTAGAGCTTTTGTCTTAATGCTGCTCAGCAATGCCTTTCTAATGCTTAAGGCCCCACAGTAGGAGTCACTCCAGAGGATGTTTTAGGAAGATACAGACTGGTGTCCATAACATGTTAGAAGAGAGATAGTTTTCCTATGAGACGTTGCCTGGCAGTGGGAATACACACCCAGACTGCAGAGTAGACTTCCCTTTTTGTCAGCAGGAATGTGAATGCTCTTGTCCATTTCTGAGACTCTGGGTTCTGAGTTCTAGGTTATTCTGGACAGAGGAGTTTTAAATCTTTCCTGCTGAAACCCTTCCATTATTATTTAATGGGGTCTACTTTGAGCTAGAGGGATGGTGAACACTACTTCAAATGCTTGTGGACATCCTGTTCACTATTCACTTTTGAAAGAGAACTATATTCAACCTTTAATCTACTTAATAAGCCTTTTTAAGTGCTGGACTGTAGTTACACTCACACTTACTGGCTTCCTCTGTCAGACCTGATGAATATATGTTCCATATGGCGTGAATCAGAATCAGGAATGACAACATCTTCCTTCTTTCCTCTCTACTTATTGTCTCCTCCCTTCTTTTCTTCCAGGGATACTCTAACTCTAGGGCAGCTTATGTGGAAATTGAAGGTATGAGTTCAGTTTCCTTTCGACACAGCTGTTAGTCATGCACAGGTCTTTGGTAATGTTAATGGTCTTAGCAGTTGAGTCTCCAAGAGACTTGGCTCATTAGGAACTTTTTCTAGGTGACATAAGGGTAGTGGAAGTGGGAATGACACGTCTGCCACAGAAAGATGATTTTCTTTTACACAGTTAACAGACCATAAAGCATTTTGATGTCTTAACTTTTGGGACTGAAGCATGTTTAAGCTGCGTGGTCACATTTTGTTCTGATGCTTATGAGACTGGCATGTTTTTTTTTTGCTCCTAAGTAATTTTGATATGGATATGGTTATTATAACACTAACTACATTTTTCATGTGGAAATCCTGCACATGCAACCAAGAAGATGTTTATTGATTTAAGATACTGCAAATTGTTGAATAATATTTAGCTTTAAATTAATCGATGCATCTGATGGCTTGGTATATAAAGCTGTACCTTAAGTAGTTATAGAACGGATCTTTGGAGTTCCCTTCCAGTCATCTTGTCCTACTGGACCAAAGAGTCTGTAAAAGTAAGAGGGGACAACTAACTGTTACTGAGGTTCTTTAATTTTAGTAATGAATAAAGTTAATTTTGCGAGGTAATGTCATTATAAATAGACTTGTGGCTTCTTGCAATAGTTTCCTTATAGAAATTTAGAATTTAGGCTATGTGTGCTAAATGAGCTGTGTGCGTTTCAATCTGACAGTCAGCACAAGAGGGAACAGAAAAAAGGTTTCCAGTATAGCAGGTGCATGTGTTATCTGTCATGGAATGTTGCAAAAGCTGGGAATGTCCTTCTACCCAGGTCTGTGGTTCCTGAATCTTCATGGTATTCCCTCCAGCCTTGAACAGGGTAGCCAGATCACAGAGTGAGTAGGGTTTAATGTATATGCTCTTCTCTGTTGTGTCTTGGTTCCTCAGTGAATGGCTTCTGTGGGTATTTTTTGGATATTTACTTCCTTGCATAGAAAGCTGATAATACCCATCTGATTTGGGTATACAGATTTTGGTATTCAGATGCCTACAATTTAGAAAGTACAGCAGTGAACCTAATTCCCTTTTGTGGGCTTATCAGATAGTAGCTCATAAATTCAATTTTTAAATATTAGCCTCAGTCATGGAATATGTGTTATTGTTGTATCCCTGTGCATGTCCTTAGCTTATATTACCTGCTATTAAACTGGG